ACGCTCCCACGCCGCAGCAAAAAAGTCCAGTGGACCTCCTGGGGCCTCGGGGCCGGGCTTCTCGTGGCAGGCCTCCCGTGGTCGAGCTCCGGCGGTGCGTCGGCGGAGAGCGTGCGGCTCCGAGGGGAGGCGCGCCTGCCCGGCAAAGAGCGGCCAGTCTGCCCGAGAGAAGCCCCGACCCCGTCGGAGCACGACGGGGGCCCGCGGCGGGCACCCGGGTCGGCCCTCCCCGCGGGGGGGGTCCCAGGAGTGCCATACGTCTGCGGCATCGCGGGGTCGATTTCGGCACCGCCTGATCCCAGGGCTTCGCCCTCTCCTGGCCCTGACGTGAGGCCCCGCCTTCTTTTCCCCCCCCCCTCTGCCAATGAAAGCTGTGCGCGGCCCGCTCAGCTTCGACCAGAAGAGGTGCGCTCTCGACCCGCGGATCAAAAAAGGCTGTTGCATCGCGAGGAGTCTGAGCACGGACGGCGGTCGGTGTGAGCGCGGCTGAGTCTGACAGGGCGGAGCACGCGTGAGGCCCAGCAGGAGCGCGGCCGAGGCCGGCCACGGGTGGGTCTGAGCACGAGCGGGGCCGAGAAGGGCAGGGTGTGAATGCGATGGGGCCTGGGTGCAAGGGGGGTCCAAGCGTGGGGGAGTGGGTCTGAGTCGATCTGGTTGCGAGTGGGTCCGAGTACGAGTCAGTCTGCATCTGAGCGTGATGAGTCTGGGTAGGAGTGGAATGAGTGGAGCTGGTACGAGTGAGTCTGAGCACGAGTGAGTCTGAGCGTGAGGGCGCCTGAGGTTTGCTGCGTCTCAGTGGGAGTGTGAGTGTGAGTGGGTCTGAGCATGAGTGTCTCTGGGTAGGCGATGGATTTTGAAGAAGGGAGGCAGCGGTAATGGCATGAAAAGAAGCGGAGGAAGCAGACTAACATTACTAACACTATCCCCCCCATTTTCAGGACAGGGGAGATAATCAAACAAACAGACACGCACACACGCACACACACACACACGCACGCACGCACGCACGCACGCACGCACGCACGCACGCACGCACGCACGCACACACACACACACACACACACACACACACACACACACACGCATGCCATACACTCCTCGTCAAACAAATGAACAGATGTCTTGTGCAAGTTTGCTTACGAGGGCATCGCTATCTAAATTCTGGCACCGGGTAGTTGGCTTGTGCGCGGGGGCGCCCGAACTCCGAACCCCCATCTCAGCATTGAAGAACGAATGATGTGACCAGCGCCCGAGAAGATGGAGCGCAAGTTTGCAGGGCTGAATCCTCTATCTCCCCTCCCCTTGCCATGAGGGAAAGGGGGCCTGAGACAAACGGGTCCTGGAGACATCATGGTTCTCCCCCAACCAGACAAGCTTTTCATCCTGAGAGGTTTTTGAGCGATGGCACGAGAAGGGCCACGAGAACCAGCGAAAAGCCTCGGGGCCCATTTCCCTCCGGACTCCTTCCCAGCGGCTTGATGAAAGCCGACCCGTTCACTACGGGGTCCAAGGCAAGGGAGTCCCGACCCTTCTTCCCCCAGGGCCGGCATCCAGAGTTACTCTTGTGCACGCTTCCCAGGAGGCCAGACATGGTGAAAAAATCCTCATCAGTTTCAGCGACACAGTAAAGGGTACTCCCTCACGGGTATGTTGGAGATGTGCCGAAGGTTGCCGCTTTAGGGCCTCTTTCTGGCACTGCAGCGTTGCCCACATCGGGGAGGGGCTGAGTTCGCCGGGCCACTGGCCAAAGTGCCCGTTGGTGGAGTCCCCGTTAGAGGGGCGTTGATAGTTTTTCCCGTTCGAGGGGCGCTCATGGTTTTGCCACACGCTGGAGGTCTGGCTTGGCTGCTCGGGGCCGGGAGCGCTCGGGCCTCGCGCGGTCGTCCCGGGGACGAGTCGTGCACCGCGGCCCCGGAAGGCGCTCTCGGCGAGGCGCAGCCGCCGGCAGGAGGCCCGAGCAGAGTATAGGAAGGAGCCTCCCCGCCTTGCGGGCGGACGCGCACCAAGAGAGGACGATCGACGGGCCAGGGCATCCGAGAACGAACAATGACACAGACGTAGGTCGGGCGCGTCCCCCTACAAGGGGATGTTCGACGAAAAATAGAAAAAATACCTCCAAAATGCCCCAAAAAGGCCAACAAAGATTCAAAAACATCGTCCTCAGACTATTTTTTGATAATTTTTGGATTGTCGAAAATCCCCCTGTAGGGGGACAGGCCCGACCTAAACATAGACACACAAACTCGGAGGTCCGCGTGGATTTCTCGGATCGGCGCTGGGGACCGGGAGTCCAGCGCCCGATCCGAGAAATCCGCGCGGACCTCCGAGTTTGTGTGTCTATATCATTGTTCTTTCCCCTGGGACAGAGCGAGGACGATCGAAGGGCGATCGAGAGGCGACTCCCCTGTGAGGAAAGTCCCGGAGGCCCCGCGCGGCGCGCAAATGGTTGCATGGTCTCGTCCACGTTTCCGCGCCGTCAGATATTTGGGACGACGGTCGCGCGGCAATGGTGCGACGTGAGTCCAACGGGAACCCGACGCAAATCCGACGTGATTCTGGCGCGGCTCCGACGCAAAAGGGGTCTCGAGTTGCCACTGCGAGGCCTCCGAGACTCCGGGAGATGTTCCTCGCGGGACTCCGCGGCCCCATCTGTGGGCCACCTCCTCCTCCTCCTCCTCCTCCTCCTCCTCCTCCTCCCTCTCGTCCTTCTCCTCCTTCTGCTCCTGCTCCTGCCCTCCTCGTCCTTCTCCTCCTCCTCCTCTGCTCCTCCTCCTCCTCCTCTTCCTCTTCTTTCAGGATGTTCCTCCCCCTCCTCCCCCTCCCCCCCCCTCCTTCTCCTCCTCCTCCTCCTCCTCCTCCTCCTCCTCCTCCTCCTCCTCTTTCAGGATGTTCCTCGCGAGGCTCCGCGGCCCCATCTGACGGCCGCGCCTCCCTCCCATGGAGGTTGCGGACGGCGCCGCCGCGGCGCGCGCCTTCATGGCCGCGGCCATGGCGCTGCCCGTAGGCTCCGGAGCCAGCAGGGGCGAGGGGGAGGATCGGCTTGGACTTGAAGTCGAGCGTGTCCCTCTACAGGAGGAATGTTCAATAATAGTCCAAAAGTAGTCGGGGGACGATTGGTTGGACTAGTTTTGTCTAGGTTTGCTTATTCTTCTGACCATGTTTTATTGTTCGTCCAAAAACCGCCGGTAGGAGGACACGCCCGACCTAAGCTTAGACGAGGGGGGGGTGGGTTGGGAGGGGCGGACGAAAAAGGGGCTCGAGCTTCGAGGTGTGCCTGCATTCTCGTCGGTTCTCGACGGGCTCTTTCCAGCCTCGGAATGTTCTTCGGCAGCCGCGCTTCACCGACGGCGTCCCCAGGGGAGCCCGAGTCGCCAAGGAGAGCGCCAGAGAGCAAAATTGATGGGCGATGTGATCGGGATGTTTGTAACACAGGGGCGTTCGAATACCTCAGGAATCTCAGCACACAGCACCGCTGCGCGGATCATGAAGAGACCTCCCCGCGCCGCCTCGGCCCGGCGATTCTTCAGCCGCCTCCAGTAGGCTGATTAGCGCAGTTTCTGATAAACCCATGCGCACGCTCGGGGCTGAGCAAGCAGGGGCTGGCTCAGCGTTTGCGCGGGATGTAGCCCTCGAGCCGCGCCAGATGTCTTGGGCGATCCATTTCTCAAGCACAGCCCTGGCTGCAAGATCACAGGCAATATAGCACGCACCAGCGCTCCGGAAATGGTGGCGGACACGACGATTCGGGTACCGGGGCAATTTTCCGGGTTTGGCCACTCTCGGGGCCGAGGGTTGCTGCCTTGGAAGCCCTCAGCTTGCATACGAGCCCTCCCGAGCCCGCCCCTCCGTTCTCGATAACGCGACCGTGACCATAGCCACTGCTCCTTCGTGTTTCCCAGATAAGATCTTTTAAAAAATAGAACTCCGTTTTTTAACACGCTGGGATTTGTTAACTTTCATAAATCGGTTTTGCAAGCGATTGCAGACCCACTATGACGCGTGAGCGGGGGGGCAGAAAAAGGGCATCGCAGTAGAACAACAGCATCGGGGTGCATAGTTACGCAATTGGAAGGGTTCGGCGGAGGGGTAGCGTGCCAGACGTGGTGCGAGCGCACTTAGCTTGCCCCTCACATTCCTTCTCCATCTTCAACCTTTTCCCTCACCCTCCTCCTCCCTGTTCGTCGTCGTCGTTTCCCGGAACCATTTATCAACCCCTTCTCCTTTTATCCCATCCTCTTCCTCCAAAAACGCCCAATTGACCATCCTACTACTCCTGCTCCTCTTGTTCCATCGCTGGATGATTCTCGTGCCGTGCCGTGCCGTGCCGTCTCGTGATGCGTGCCGTGCCGTGCCGTTTCGTGATGCGTCTCACGGGGTCTCGTGCCGTGCCGTCCCGTGCTGTTCCGTCTCATGCCGTGCCGTGCGACTCCTCTCGGAGTGCCGTGCCGCCTCGCGATGCGTCGTGCCAGGTGGAGATGGTGCTTGCGGGGTGGCCTCCAAAATCTGATCGTGGGTGTGTCGACGGGTGCCGTGCGGTGCGGTTACTTGCCGTATTGTGTCGGGTTGCGCGGTGTTGCGTGGTGCCGTGTCAAAGTTGTCGGGGCCCCATTGCCACGTTGCTGTTTGTCAATATCCGTAGCCTGTTTTGGTTGAGAGCTTGTGCGACTTCTGCTTGCCCATTCTTCGGCACACCGTGCATTCCTCCTAGGTCCTCGATTGCACGGGCCAGGCTCGCCATGACGTCGTCGGGCAGCGGCTTGTCGAGGTCGGACTCCCGCGCGATGTTGGACGTGGCCACGCCGAAGTCCACGGCCAGCAGGGGCTCCGCCGCCTCGTCGAGGAACTTGGTCGACCTCATTCCTCCGCCGAAGGCGGTGGCCAGCAAGAAGGAGCAACAGGAGCTGAACGCGCGCTACCGTGCCTTCCAGGCGTTGGTGAAGCATCTCTTGGATGACGACACCCATGCGCCGTCGTTGCTGCTGGACCTCCAGAGGTACAAGGACGAGGTAGATGGTGATACGTGCTTGGAGGGCGCTCTCTCCCACGAGGTCTTCCCCAATGGCCCCCCCGAGACCATCAGCAGGATTCCAGAGGACTACAAGTTGGAGATGATCGTCGAGCAATCCAAGTTGACGGTGGTCCAGCTAGTGACAGCGAAGGAGAAGGACTCCTCGGCCATCTCGGACGCGTTCCACTTCGGCCTGCAGATGATGGATAACTTGTTCCTCCCACCAGAGTTCGGCGTGTTTGAGGTGGCTCGCGGCGTCTTGACGGAGCGCCATACTGATATCGGTTCACGCTGGGCGATGATGGACTCGTCTTGGATCACGCCAGACGGCAAGTTGTCCTTCGTGAAGGGGTGCTACCGCTTCTTGTACGACGAGGACGATGACGTTGCCAAGAGGGTTCAGCACATCAACGGCGACACCGTGGACCTGCCTGAGGGGACGCACATCGTCAAGAAGGTCCACGGCATCAGCTGCAACTACAGCGACTGGAAGGCGGCCTTGGCGTGCAAACCCTTCTCGGGCGCCAAGCTTCACAAGTTCTTCCAGGCGACCAAGACTGGGCCGTACCGCTTCACCGTCTTCACCAACAAGGACGACGTGCTCAGCGACAAGGTGAAGAATCGGTACACCACGTGGGCTAAGGGGCGCGGCTCTACTGCCTCGGCGTCTTCGGGTCCCACGGAGGCGCAGAAGGAGCTCCAGGAGTCCAAGAAGCGCACTAAGACGACGGCCATGGAGTCGGCTCGCAAGAAGGCGAAGGACCTCAACGCTTTGAAGAAGGAAGCGAAGGTGTCCTCGGCTTGAGCGTGACGTCGGTCGTCTTCGTCACTAGTGATATTGAGTTTTGACCTGAGGAGTTCGTGCGAGTGGCATGTCAACCACCTTGTGTATATCCGTCGCAGCACTGCCCTCAACCTCTAGTTTAGTGGTCATATCTTGTCAGCTTTAGTTGACACACGTAGCAGGTGGTGCCGCTAGCAGTTGGTGCCCCTAGCAGGTGAGGCCGCCTGCTGGGTCAGAATGCGGGTTATCTGACCGTCGTAGCAGGCACGGTGCCTCCAGCACGCGGCGCCCCCAGCACCTCGTGCCCAGACACGTGCGTAGGAGGGTGGTGCCCCTAGCACCGTTCGAGCTGCAAAAATGAAACGGCCCCTGAGGGCCCTCATGGACACACCACCTCATGGGGACGGGAGGGGCGGAGGACGGGGGAAGGGGACTGGGTGAGAGGACGAGGGCATGTGTGGGAGGGCTATAGAAACAGTATGCAGTGAGGAGGGGTAGAATAGGGAGGGGCCTCCACCTCCCCCTCCTCCTCCTCCTCCTCCCCTAACCTCCTGGCCCCCTTTTAGGCCGGCAGTGGCCAGGTGGCCAGCAACCGTCAGAATGATTCGGAGAGTGTCCTTTGTACGTCGCAGGTGTGACTCCACCGTTGGCTTGCGTTGTTTGCAATGCATATTTCATGATTCGGTGTTTGTCGTGCGCAGGCGAGGTCGACGTGTGAGTTCTCAGGTCGCCTGCGGTCGTCCTCCGTGATCCACCCCACCCTCTCGCCTCTTCCTCTGGCGTAGCCGTTTTGGCACTAGTCGATTCTCAGGGTCTCGAGGCGAGTTCTTCATCGGGACCGTGCATGCCGTCTGCGGCGGCCGCGGCTGCCAGCGGTGGCGGCGGGCCCCCAGCCCACGTGGACGTCGATGACATCGACGTCGACGGGATCAAGAAGGCCCAGGATACCGAGGTGCCCATGGACCTCCTCCTGTGGAGCGACCACGTGCACTTTTGTAAGGTTGGGAATAACAAGTGGATGTTGAGGAGCATCGAGACGTACGAGTTCCACGAGTTCGAGGCGGAGGCCGCCGAGCTTGTCCACTCGGACGACAACACGAGCATCGCGGTTGTGAAGGTTGATGGTAGCGCCGATGTGATTGACCTTGACAACCTGTTCAAGTGGAGACTGCACCGTGCGAAGGGTAGCTGGGAATATTTCGCCAAGGCCACTGTCGTATACCCGACCCACACCAAGACGATACAGAAGAGCGTCGACGACATGTTCTCGGATCACAGGAAGGGCAAGGTGAACGTCGCCGTCGGCTCTGGGAACGGGGAGACACAGTTCAAAGTGTTCATCTTCAAGCGTCATCGCCAAGGAGGGCAGCGGATATGGTGGGACCACATGTCATTGCATAAGTACCTCAAGATCAAGTCCTACAAGGGCATCCCGTCGAGGTGGTGGGGTAGGGTTGGCCATAAGTGGGACGGCAGCTTTCTGCAGAATTTCGGTTTCGGCTCGATGATATACGGCAAAGTGGTAGCGCCCCATGCGGTCAAGAAAATGATGCTTCCGTTTCGCACGAGGTGCCTCGACTCGAGCTCTTTGTCGACGGCTGGACTCGTCTTCGCAGTGGCCAGGTGCGCGTATTTGTCGCCAGAGGCTGGGGGCTTCAAGGAGGAGAGTAGCACGCGCGCTGCGACGGAGTTGATGGACGCCTTCATCGGTACCTTCCTGCGCAACTGCCAGGTCGAGGGTAAGGCCCCCGCCATCACTTTGTACCTCGTTGCCGATTGGGCGCCACCGTGGCCGTTCCCCACAGAGACGGGCACTCCCCAGGTCAACCTGGGAGTGCATCGCGATGGTATCGACGTGAAGCCGCTGCACAGCTTGGCCAATGTATCTGGGAGGACTTCAATTGTGACCAAGTATTTCAGGATGGTGGAGAGTGTCGTCGGCTCGTCCGACCAGGACGTCATGCTCGTATCATGGGAGAACTTGTTCTCGAACACGGTGTCCAAGAGATCAAGCAAGTTCTTCTCGCAGATCGTCTACGGCCTCGCCATGGCCGCAGAGGCCATGGTGCTCCGCGGGATCACGAATAAGGACGTCGTGGACACGCTCAGCCCGATCAACGTCTGCACGTCCACGATGCAGGACATGGACAGGCACGAGGTGGACTACTTTCTCGCGAAGTACGTCGCCTGCGCGAAGGACACGTTCAAGTCGCCTATGTTCCTCAACGTCGCCATCGACAAGGACGGGGGGTGACCAGCAGCATTGCCGATCTTGGCCACCCCTGAGACGCCTCCCCCCGCACCCCCCCTCCGCGCCCGCCTGCCAGTCCCGCCAGCCTCGGCGGGGGGATGGGGAGGGGGCAGGCGGCGGTGGCTAAGATCGCCATTGGCAGCTAGTCGCCCCCCAAAGGGCAACCCTGGCAACCTCCCCCTCTACGGCTCCGCGTTCACGCTCCCCAGCGGGGTGGCGGTCGTCGGGCCGCCACAGGTAGGCCAGGTAGACGCACGAGCCCGCCCCCCCCCCTCCCCCTGCACAGGCGCACCCCCCTGTCGGGCGAACGCCCCCCAGCTGTGGCTACGGTCACTTTTCGGGGCTCCCGCCTGAGTTTTGGGCCCAAAAAGTGACCACAGCCACAGCTGGGGCACTGAGCGCCGGGCCTGGGGGTGCCAGGCGGGGCGGGGCCTCGGGCGTTTGCGCCGTCGCAGGTGGCGAGCGGCGCTGGGGCGCTGGAGTGGGCGTCAGGCAAGGATATCAGATCGGCGCGGCCTGGGGGGAAGAAGAGCGAGAATACCGACGGGGATGCTGGGACGATGAGGGCAAATCGCCATCGCGCGTGGCTCCAGAGAGGCAGGCACCAGAAGGGCCAGAGTTGGAGGCCAGCCGTGCTACGCCGAGCTGCCGCAGCATCGTGGTGCACTGCCCTCGACAACGCCATGAAGCATGTGACTGAGACCGATGGCCTTTCGTATCTTCGGCCCGACGCCTCCGACAAGTGGCACGACGCAAATTGGCGGAACTGGCCTCACATGTCGTTGCCGATGGACCTTGGGCCTGACGGGATGGCAGGTTGCAACGCTTTGCTTTACAAGTGGAAGTTGAATCTGACAAGGATCGATGAGTTCAGCCACGGGTCGAACAACGACCTCAAGGTCTACCTGAAGGAAATCGGCATGTGGGACCTCGCGATCCTCCTCTTCATCCACTTCAACGTGCCGTTCGGGCCTGACAAGGACCCCCCCCCTCTCCCCCTCTCCTCCTCCTCCAGAGTGGGGAGAGGCTGGCAGGAGGGCGACCGATGCAGGCACCTCTCCTTCCCTCTCCCTCTCTCCTCCTCTCCTCCTCTCCTCCTCTCCTCCTCTCCTCCTCCCCTCCTCCCCTCCTCCCCCCTCCGAGTGGGGAGAGGACCTTCCCTCTCCTCCTCTCCTCCTCTCCTCCTCTCCTCAGGAGGACGACCGATACAGGCACCTCGAGTGCGTGGACACCATGAGGAAGATCTACGACGAAGAGACCTACAGGTCGGTGCCGTGCTTCCAGCACTACTGCAATAACATAGTCCAGGAGATGAAGAGGGACGGCTACGAGTTCACAGGGGACGAGCCAGATGCAGCCGTGGCTTGGAACTTCATGAAAGAGGAGAACGGCTTCATCCCATTGGGGATGCGCTTGAACTTCTGTCGGTTTTGTGATGCTGCTGATGGTTTCGACAGGAACTACAAGTACTGGTGGAGGCACACGTTCGAGCGCACGTGCGTCGCCTTGGAGCACGACATGCTTGCGAATGCGAAGCTCCAGAAGGTAGCGGTCAAGCAGGCGGAGGTGGACGGGGCGATCGTGGAGGGGGGCGGCACTACGAGCAGCGCCAAAGTGACGATCGACGCGAAGGTGTTGAGGTCCGCTAACGCAAACGCCGTGGCGATATCAGTGCTGCTGACATCATGCCCTCGGAACCGCCGCACAGTAGCCTGCTCGTTCGCCCCGATGCATTTTGTGAAGAAGTGGCAGGGGAAGAGCGTGAAGGAGATGAAGACCGCGGAGGCGACGCAGGTGTGGATGACCAATCAGATCGGAGGGGACTTCATGGACCATGTTATTTCGATTGTAAACGGCTTGATGGACGTGCACAGCATGGAGGGCTGCGACTTCATTCTGAACATGCGCGCGATCAAGGACGCCGATCCTGGTGAGGTCGGTGTCGAGGGCGACTTTGCCGAGCTGTACGGCATGGCGCATCTTTCACTTGCCACTGCCAGGATGCGAAGGTGTTTGTTTTTGTTCGGGTGGCCCTTGAAGATGCAGCGCGTCCTGGCCGACCCAGAGACAGGGGCGAACACGGCGCGGGAGTTCAAGCGAGACCTCGATGTCTTCAACGAGTACTGCGCGTACAAGGGCGATCAGAGTGCACGGTGCGTGGTCGTGAAGCGCAGCGTCTTCGGCCTGACAGCGACCAAGCAGATCACCTTGGCGTTCCGCGAGCTCGGGTTCAATTTTCCGCACCAGGCGATCAAGGACATCATGAAAGGTCGGAGCACTGGCATCATGAATACGATTCCTGTCGAGAAGATCATTGGCGCCCAGAAGAAATGCTCGCGCTTCAAGGCTTGCAAGAAGTTTCGTAGGCCAGCGACCGCCATGCATGCGGCCATCTGTTGCGGCGTGATCGACAAGCAGTTGAAGTTCACGGCCCTCGAGGCCGATACCCCCCTTCAGGATAAGACAGCGTCTCTGCCGCTAGAAGCCTTCAAGCCAGTGAAGAGATCTGCTTCGATAGCTTTCGGGGATATCGTGAGCACCGCCCAGAAGACCGACTACTACAGCCCAGGCCCCACCTTGGCGAACACACCGGTTGCCGACCTCAAGATGGTTTCCGACGCGAAGGCTAAAGGAGGGTTTGGCCATGTCACAGACGCGTGGCTGGGCGGCATATTCAAGCTGAAGCACAAGTTCGTCTTCTCGAGCCCACATCATGGTGGCGATGCGTGGTGGCACCTTGCGCTGTACCACTGGCCGACGAGCGGCGTGTTGTGTTGGCCTGGCAAGCTGGTCACGGTAGAGGGGTCACCCAACTTTTACTTCGAGTTCGCCCTCGACTTGCAGGAGCCCGTGCACGTCGGCGTGTTCGACTGGGCGGACTTCAAGGTCAGGGAGATTTCTTTCAAGTCATGGGCCTGGCAGGGCCGCGACATGCCGCAGGGTTGGGTTGATGCGAACAAGCCTGGCGTGCGCATCTTCGCCACGGGTTCGGTCACCAACATCCAGGAGCTGGCCGCGACGAACTGTTTCTGGAACATCAGCTCCTCGGACTTGGGCAGTATTGCCAGCTACCTGAAGATCCCCATTCCTGAGGGTGCGTCT